GTTATTCAACTGTATATATAAAAAACCTAAAAAATTATTTCTTTTAATACTCTCCACGTGCAAAATTTTAAAAGACTTAGCAACCAATGTCAAGCAGCAACCGAATACAAAGGTTGTAACTAGAAGAGATAATTGTTTGCTTTACTTCTTTGTTTACTGTTCTATGTTTAAAAAAAAAACAAGTTTAAGAACTTATTTCTAAATAGTAATAATGTATATACATATATAATGTATAATAATGGAAATGTGATTGTATTTTACAAAATATTAGTCTACTAATACACAGCCAAGACAGGTCACTTTCTACAGACTAAAGGTCAGTTTTATAATATTTGATACGGTAACATGAGAGCAAGTGTGCCGTGTCATTGCAATTTCTGTATTATTAACCAGGCACGGCTGAAAGGTCAATATAACAAAAATAATAAATATATATAAATGTATAACGTTATGAGATCTGAGCTATTTAGTCTAAACATTTATGTTTTCGTGTTATAATTTATTGTTATTCTAGAATGAAAGAGACATAATTTATATTTATTTCCTAATTTTTTATGGTGGTTACCTGATCGGTCAAATCTACCAAACCTGTACAGAGTTTCGTAAGTGAAAATAACAGATAAAATATAAAGTTTTTTCTTAAGAAACATTTGATACCTATCTGGACATTATAAAGACTTTGCATGTGAAATTGGAAAATTTTTTGATGCATAAAAGTATTTTTAATCTTAAAATGAAAATTACGTTGCATGTTGGATAAGCAACATGCAAAAAGAAAAAAAGGGCATGAGAAAAACATTGCTTACCAAACTTTAAGACTTCATAAAAAAAATTGATATTTTGCATATGAAAGCATTGTAATGTTTACTGACAATCTGCCAAATTTCGTTAACATATGCTTACTAATTTAAAAGTTATAGCATGATAACGACAAGCACAAAATGGTTACGAGGTTTGCCCCAGGGACTGTGCCCATGCTGAAAGAGTTAACAGAACCTGCTCATTACAATTAAACCACTACTTCTAGCCCTAATACTGCTTCTGACTCCCTGAAAGTCATTTTGAGCAAGGAATGATGCTGACTTAATGAAAAGTTTTTGGAAAGCTCTACAAGGATGATTCTGAGAATAGAAGGTTATCTTACAAGGTTAGGTTAAAACATAAACTTATTTATAGTTCAGAAAGTAAGGGTAATACGTGATGTTGTTGGAGGTAACAAGATTATCTGTGGAGATTAATCTTATTATGATGGAGCTTGCAACATATATGTCCAAAACTCGGATCTCTGAAACTACCGCACCTATCATCACCAATCATAACTGGATAATATTTTTATAATTATGCTTTAGCTGAGCAATAAATAAAGCAATCAAAATTTCCCAAAAAATGACGTTTCAGATTTAACCAATAAAAATTACAAAAAAGTAAGTTTCAAATATAAAACAAACATAAAAAAATTATTTGTTTTTCTTTAGTGAAAATCTCATAAGTGTTGCAACACAAAAGCAAGGCACTTTCATTGATAACTGCGTATACAAAGAAATACTTCAATAAAACTTACTCTGTGATGTAATGCTCATTTTTAAACTAAAATTTCAGTAAAATCCTTTTTCTCATGCATGGTGAACATTATTGAATGTCAAGTATGAGTACATTGTTGTAGAACTGTCAGACAATTCCAGAAAAGGCTGCAGGCCCAATAACTTTCTGCAGGAACTAGCAGTTATACCTGCCAGTAGGGTGGGTATTTCTGCTAGTGACATTAATGCCTTTAATTTGTTTGTGCCATATTCTGAAGATCACAGGATGAGAGGATACAAATTTAAGGTTTGGAAAAGACAAGCTATATGTCAGTTAAGACAGTTCTATTTTTCAACAGGGTGATTGGCTTATTAAATGTGTTGCTGTCAGTAGTAGTGGAGACCAGTACTTTACTTTAAAAGAATAATAATAATTTTATTAAAAATAGAGTGGGTTTAAATTTTTACTTTTCTAAAGGTTGAGTGCAGAAGTACAGCCCTGAAGGAGATCAAATAATCTCCTGTTGTCATTATATATATTATGTTTACAAATAGAGATCTTTGTTTTAATTGTTTAATTGATGATGCCATTAATCAAGTAGTAAGTAGGCATTTCCCCTACAAGCAAAAACAGATGACAGCAAGTGTTGCCAGCCAGTTGCCTTTCCTCTAGTCAGCAGTTCAAAATTAGTGACAGTGGCAGGTAGGCTTAGTCATTTGCCATAACAATGACAAGTTGAGCAAGTTGAGTGGCAATATTTTGATTATTTGATTAGTCTGAATAATTGAAAATGGTAATAATTGGACTTTCTAATTGATTAGTTTTGTAGAAATTTATTTAATCCTAATTTAAATTTTGGTTAACCAACTGCTGAAATAATGAAAACACTAATTGATTTACTGATTCTTTTGAAGACAATTGATATAATCAGAATTTTCAATAAATAATTGTTGGAATAACCAAAAACAATAATAAGTAGAAGTACTGATTTTGATTAATCAGTTCATTTACACAACACTAATTGATGTAACTGCTATATATATTACCCAGTTCTAGTTATAATGTCATTGTTGTGTTCACTTATACAAATGTACATACAAAAATTCTGTGTGCAGTTTGCTATTGTTACCAGTACAAAGAGAATTAACTTATTTAACGAAAGCTTGAGGACTCACAAATGATTGTTTATATATCACATAAACAAGATGTCTGTAACTTTCTAAGAGATTTTAGGCTAGGCAAATGTTTCACAAGATAAATAAAAAATTGGGAATTTAAAAACCTCAAACAGGGATCATAAAAAAGTAAGGACACAAAGCTGGAGATACTGTAGACATTATTTATTCAAACTAGAAACACCTATTCTGGCTCCATGCTGTATACCTAGAATTACATTTGGTGGAGTCGAAATAGGAATTTGTAGTTTGAGAAAATAAAATCTACAGTATCTCAAATTTTGTTTCCTTACTTTTTTTACACTCCCTATTTGCAGGATTTTAAATTCCCAATCTTTTTTATTTATCTCGTTTGCTGGCTGTTTTTTGCTCACAGTTGAGCAAAGGATTACTTGATATGGTAGCTAATTTGATACATTCTAATTATAATAAACATAACTAGTAGCTAGCTGATACTGTTCATGATGATTTACTGTAGCTATTGACTATCTGATCACATTTGTTCGAGATGTAAAATGTTAAGCTGTAGCTGGGGATTGTCATGGAGATTTGTTTGAGAATATAGTGGGCATTTATAGTTTATGTGTAACTAAATTTTCCCTACATATAATGCATAGCAATGGGCAACTATATGCCTAGACTAAGATATGACCCTTACTATGTGTGTATAAAATTTTACCAGTAGAAAAGCAGCCTTTTCAAATACAACATATATGTCTAAAACATCACTTTAAATAAACCTTGGTGTCTTTTAAAGTAATTATTCTATGAATATGTGTAATAAAATTAAATATTATTGTGTATTGTTTTGTTTTTTACTCCTTCTCTTTACACATAATGTAGTGATTGGTTCTCTTAAAGATATTGATCGTATAGCATACAAAGCATTGAGTATTTACATATTACAGTTATCTGATGTTCATCCGTTATAGACTGGTAATTCCTGTCTCACCCTGTATTTAAGCTTTTTAAGGGAACACAATATATTTGTAAGAAAGCTAACTTCAAGGGGAAATGATAACATTTACACTAGAATTGTTATTTTTTAGCTTATGTAAAATATAGAAGAAAGAAATCATCTTTTCAATACCCTTATGATCTTCACAGTACCTGATCTAGTATTTTACAAAAGGTTTGGGTGCAAAATACCAAGCTGTTTTTGTTGCAGGCTGGCAAAAAAATAATAACAATAAGAAGAAAAATTATAAACAGGCCATTTTTAATGGATTTTCTTTTCCTTCTAAGTTTAACATGCATACTTTTTTGTGCAGACCCTTAGCAAGCAATTGTAAAAGTTTTAAAGTGTTGTTTGAACTGAATTTTTACTGTTTAAGGTGCTTTTGGCTCAAACATTCTATTACAGTTTTGTGCAATTACTTGCAATCCATATTATGAAGCACTGTCATGGTTCGGGATATTTGAAAATTCATTTCAGGTGGAAGTCTTCTGTGAAAAACGTTTAGAAACATAGTAAACTCTTCATTGTTAAATGTGTTTTCTTGATAAGTGGAAAATTCTCTCTCGTTTAATGGCTTGAAAATAAGGTATGGTTAAAAAGTTTTGCATTATGAAACTTTGCCAAACAATTTTTATTTTCCATTGGCAATTTTCTGTAGTTAACTGGAAAACTAGTATTTCAAATTATTTCCTAAACCTGTAAAAAACAAAAACAAAAAAAAAACATTCAAGTGAGGAATACTTTAGTTCTCACTGAAATCTATAAAACTGGCAGGAGATAAGTATATGATAAATTATCTTTAAAAGACATTTTGAAAATTAAAAGTACTTTCTATTAGCTACTAGTAAAGTTTTTTTTTTCCGAACTTGCAACCTGCAGGTTCCAGACTCAAATCTCATCACCAAACATGCTTATCCTTTCACCCACAGGGGCACTGTAAGGTGAGAGTCAATCCTACTGCTTAATTGTAAAAATAGTAACCCAAAAGTTGGCAGTGGGGGGATATGACTAGACCACCACCACCACCCAGTTTAAACTCTTGGGCTACTAGATTTATAACACCTCCAAGATTGAAACTGGAAGGGCAAACATGTTTGACAATGGGATTCAAACCTGTGACAGGCAAATTGCAAGTTAAGAACCCTAACCACCAGGCCATGCTAGGCCTTAGGTGCATTGGATAACTAACAGTAACACTAACAGTGCCAGAAACTCTCCACCATCGATTAAACTTTAATTTTGTAAGTATAGGCCTATTTAAGTATTTTCTAACTTAAGCTTAAGCCTTAAGTTTAACTCGAGTCTGACTCAAGTGACTGACTCAGAAAGCTAATATACACATATACCTTCAACGTCAGAAGCCTCATTTTTAACTTGGACGTCTTCTTCTAGTTCTTCTTTGATTCTAACTTGTTCATCTTGAACGTATTCTTCTGGAGGAGATTCGTAGTCATATTTACGATGCCGCTTTCTTTTACCATCACGCTCTCGATGGCTGCCACTAGATTTTTCGTGTTTAGACTTATGTCGTTTTTCCTTAGGAGATTTAGATCTTGACCTAGACTTCGACCTTTTTCGTTTCTTTTTTTCGCGATCCTTTTCTTTATGTTTCTTAGAACCCATAGTATTAATATATTAAATCCCAGAAATTACGAGTTTGTCAAACCTTTTAAAATTTTGTTAGGCTTATACTTAAAGGTCAGTTAACATCACACTACTAAACAGAGAAGAGAGCTAACAGTAACATCCACCACTACGACCGTCTTTTGTTTAAGTGCAAAAACTGCAAGTTAAAGTAAAACAAATTACAAATTATACAGTTGCTTAAATGTTGGAAACAAAATTTATTGTTGAATTAATACTGCATGCTAAAATCTACAACAGAGATAATACGATTTAATACTAATTTATTTAAAACAAAAAAGAAATTAAAATTAACAAAATTATTGTGTCATTCAATGAAATTTATCTCTGATATATGTATGTGTGTACACATATAGGTATATATATATATTGTTACGTCTCCGTTTTTTTAATTGATTTTCCGTAACTTCGTGCCGACGAAACTTAAGCGACACAAG